CAAATCAAACCAACTTAGGCAATTTCGTATACAGTGTTTCAGTAAGTTTTACTGTCAAAAACATGGTTTAGGCACTCCTTTCAAAGTTTGCAATCTACATAGAAAGAGATTGGGGCGTTGGAACGACTGCTTATTCTTGCTCTCCAGTTTCTTTTTCCTAAAAAAGTACATTCTTCGGTTTCCAGCAAAAATCTACCAACTTCATGGCACCTTTGACTGAAGCAGCAATAGCTGTCATGCACCCCAAATAGACTTGTTTAAAATGCCCTGTTTCAGGTTTTGCTTGAATATGGAATGACGAAATTGGCCACATGAAAGCAAGCTGTTTTCTTGTAATTTTTTGCCCTTAGTCTGGAATGCCTAAGGCATCATCTAGGGTGATGGAAAACTGTGACAAGTTATTCCTGCAGCCTGGCATGAGCCAGAGTGACTGACCCCTGGGCTGTGGAGGTGATGGGATGTGTCCTGGCAAAGATAAGCACAGTCTTAAAGCACAAGAAAGTAAAAGCTAATCTAGTCTTACTCCAACTTTTTCCCCTCAATAGCTTTTCTTGAAAGGGATCAAAACTGCTTTCTCCTTCATCTATGGTTTACTGTGTTACTGCTATTGATCAATAAATTGCAATTTTGAGCTGAGGACAACATGTTCCTTGCACTTTGTTAAAGGTGCGGTAACCACAGGTGAGTGGAGGATGGTGGTAGGTTTTGTATGGGGATATTGGAGAAAGCAGATTCAAGAACTTGGGTATTTTTAATGAAAGAAGATATTTCTTGCTGAAGTCTCTGACCCATACTCCTGTGTCCTATGAAATATTCCTTGGAGAAAGGTGCTGGCACAGGATTCAGTTCCAACAAACACTTGACAATAACCTCCTCTGTATCACCCCCAAAATGGGAAGAGTCCCCATGAGATCCTTGGCGAAAAAGAACAGGCATAGATACCGACTTCTGCCAGCACTTGGCCAGGGTGGAGGGGCAACGCTGGGGCTGCGTAATGCCCCATGTGTGGGGGCTGGTAAACATAAGCCTGGACACATTCTGAAGGCAGAAAGCATGAAACGTGCCCTTGAGTGGGTTGAAACCCACTATTTCTTGGGTAAGTTCCTGGTGCTGAGAGCTACAGGAGAACCAACAGATTTGATGGGTGTGAGATGCCCAACTACCTGGAGGAGGTCTCAGTCTCTCTAACTTTAGTTTTCTAGTATTAGTTGTCTAACTCGAACACCTGCACCTCCAGCATCTGTTCAGCCCCTTGGGAACAGGGGAGGTCTCATTCATTACCTTTTGGCTTCAGCAATCAACCTAAGGCGGGGGGGGGGGAAATGACTGGCTCAAACTCACCCACGATCTTTCAGTGTACACTAAACACAGACGACCTGTTTTTCCAATTTTATTCGATGGACAAGGCTAACATTTGAAAAATTTAATCCAGCTTATCAACTTGATCAAGCTGCCTAATCAAACCCATGAAATGCAGGTACAGCAGGATGGCGGCTGTTGCAATAGGGCTGGTAGAGCCACTGAGGTGGGGATTGCAGCCTGCAGGAGCTAGGATGAGATCGTTTGCCCTGCTCAGCTTCTGCTGCCAATTCCAGGATCGCAGCGCTCCCTCCCAGCTCTGTCGGGGCTTCTCATTCACTTTCTTTCCCACCTGCAGCCTCCCCCAGCTGTTCCAGCTCCTAGATTGGATGTCCATCCTGAGGCAACCTTGCTCAGGACCTTTTCCCAGTGATGACCTCACTTCACTTGAGTGGAAACCTACCAAGGTGCTCAGTGGGCTGGAGCACATGATGTACAAAGAAAGGCTGAGGAAGCTGCATTTGCTCAGTCTGGAGAAGTGGAGAGGGGGTGATTTCTTTTCAGTCTTCAACTTCTTAATGAGTAGCTATGAATCCAGACACTTTTCAGAGGCAGACAGTGAAAAGATAAGAGGTAATAGACATAGGTTACAACAAGGGAAGTTCCCATTAGACAAAGAAAAACATTAAACCCTGTCATAATGGTGCAATGTGGACACAGGTGCCAGAGATGTGGGATCTCCATCCTCAGAGATTCTCCAAATTTGTCTAGACAGGCCCTGAGTAAGCTGATCCAGTTTTGGAGTTAACCCTGCTCTGGTTGGACTGCAGACCTCCAGGTGTTCCTTCCCATCTCATTTTTTTGGTGATTTACAGTGTTAAACTGTTTTATTTTCCAGCACACAGTTCACCTGGCTGTACTGTGCACTACCCCCATGGATGCAAGTCCTATAGCACAAGCTATTCTAGCCTGCTGCATTGCATGTCTGTCAGGGCTGTCAGGATGGCATGGAAATCTTCATGAGCCAGGACACATTTTCTTGTAGAAACTCTTCTTCTCCTCTCATTACAAAAATTTCCAGCTATGTCTTTGCTCATAAGTAGGTATCCAAAGCTAATCTGTGCCTTGTAAAACTGTGATGCATGGATTCATCATGGACCTGCAGCTGGAGCATGATCAGTACAGTTTCCTCAGTCTTGGTGACCTGTCTCTAATATATTTACCCCGGAATCCCTTTGAAGTTTTAATGTCAATGTTAATGCCTCTATTTAACTGAGTAGTAACTGCATGCACTAGATGAGTTCCCTTTAGTACTGTTCTGCTTTTGAAGACTGGGTGGCTGATGTGACTGATGGCACTGAGCAGTCCCAACACTTTGCCCTTTGATAGCTTGTTCTGGTCTGTTCAAACAGAGCTATTTGTGCCAGCAGTTTCCAGTGGGAATTGCTCCCATTTCAGAATCCAGTCCTCTTTTTTTCATCCTGACATCGTTGCTTTCTCATTTAGAAGTCAATTGCAATCTTTAACTTAGGCAACTCTTCTCTCTCGCTAGTGTTGCTGTATTGACAGCAGTCTCTTCTCTGCTGAGCTTTTATTTGCTTATAATGAACAAGACAATTTTCTTAGCCTTTTCCCATTAGATTAGATCACTTTCCCTGCCTCCACATCTCTCTTCTGGCCAATGTGTGGCTTAGGAGAGTTGGTGAGTAGGAGAGTCGTTAAAGCTGCATGATGAAAGCTCACGATACGAGCAAGGCCCTCCTCTCCCTATCTAAGATTCACTTAAATTGGGCCAGGCTCTGACAAGGATGCAAAGACCCAGGGGCAAAAGGGAGTCAACTGAGCATGGATACATTTAGTCTGGAAACTGGGAGCTTCATTAAAGCTCTGGTTTCTGAAAACGCCTTGCAGGTTAGGCAAGACCTGGCTGCTTTTGAAATGGAAGCATGGTGGATCTAGGTGCTAGGGATCCTTGCAACAGAAGAAAATTATAGCTGAAGATACTAATAGATACTAATATCTGTGGGTTTGGAGCCTAAGTGTTTTGTTAGATCTGAGCTAACTGTCTTTCTGTGGTGAGTTGGGAATGGCATAATTTTTATTACCTCTTTATGTCCTTGCCTTTTCGCATAATCATCAGAGATACAGCTGTTGAAAGCCCCAAATAACCATTAGCCTAGCTTCAAACTCTTATGTATCTGATGTCTTCTTGAGAGTATGTCTGTCCTCAGTGCTCTGAGTGTGGAGTCACCTTTCTGCATGGAGCAGTTGGGTGGTGCCCAGCCGATGTTGGTTATTCCTCAGTTTGGTGGAGCCATGGGGAAGCACTCCTCTCACCAGCTGGCCATGCCGAGGATCTAACAGATCATCACACTTGTAAATCTGGTTATGTGGGTCCTTCTCTGACTATGCTTTGTTTTGACCACGTGGACACCACCATTTGTGCTGGAGACATTTTTCTGTCTTTTCCTCAGGTTCAGGATCTTGTGTTCTTGTAGATCAGCTTTATTTCAGGGTTGCTGTGTTCCTTTGGGTAAGTCATCAACTTGCTACAGATTAGTACCTGTTTGGTAGTGCACTGTATACTGCAGGAACCTAATTTCCTTACAGCCTTGATGAAAGTATTTGTAAATTACTGTCAGTGACTTGTCCATTTTAATGTTCTTGGGGATTTGATCTTGTTCTTTAGGTTGCGGGTGACAATCAATGTGGTTTTGTGGGTCCTTGGACCTCCCCATTCCCTGTTGAGAATCTGCAGCTTTCAGTCCTGGCTGGAATTTATTATTGTTAATCCTCTTAAGAGACAGCTGCTTGAGCAGGGCCTGTCATGCAGATGATGAAACACGAAGCTTTTGTTTTTCAGCCTAGTCATTGTACTTGTTGCAAAGATCTTTTTCATGCAGTGGTTTTAGGAGATGAAACGCAGCTGGAGCACTCCCAGGTTATACTTGCATTTTCCTGATTTACTTCTTACATATGCAGATGCTGTCTAAACATGTGCCTGCCTCTGGCTGTGAAAACATCAGGAGTATCTGCTCTTGCTTTGTTTATCTTTTTGTCTAGACATGTGGCACTTTTTCCACTTTTCCCACTCTACTTGAGGAATGTTGAGCTGCTCAACTTGGTCCCTCTAATGCCTAGATGTATGAGGCAGGAGCTGGCTGCTAGGATCACTGGTTTTCTCCTTCTCTCCTCCATAATACTAATTTCTCATTTGCTGGGTATCTTGCAGTCAACTTCTTGGTGAAGTTCAATGCTTGCACAGATAGTGAGACAGTCTGATGTTGCTGTCCGACGCATCCCGCTCCCTCCCATTAAAGATTTTTTTAGGAATTCTCAGGGTTCCTATGCACAGAGCCCCCCCAAAAGGAATCTGTCTCTCCAAGCAGTCATTACCAGTCCAGAGCCACACACACCCTGCACATCAGCAGCTTTACTATTGCGTGTTTGCCCCTGCTTGCCAACCAGCTCCTACACACCGTGCTGTTGGGATGTCTTGCTAAACTGGCTTTCCACCACTGGTTTAGCTCCAAGCAGTGAACACAACATTTCTGAAACATCACACCCAAATCTCGTTCCAGCTTTGCGCCGCCCACATGTAGCTGATCAAGAGAATCCTAACTCTGCTCCACAACGTCAAGTGCTCGTGACTCATTTACTGCTCTGTGCAACACTCCTCTGGTTAACTCTGAGCTGGAAGGATGGAGCTTTTGCTCCTTCAATACCCATTTACTTTTCTGTTCATCGTGTTTTTAGTCCTTTACCAGGTGAATCCTGCATTCAGATACTTTTGCAAGATGACCTTCTATAAGTTGTGGTTCTCTACCATAAGTATTCTGGTTATTATAATAAGTATTCCTCGTGGACGTAGTGTGGAAAACATCAAGTAAGTTGTCTGTGGCTTCTTCTGCTCTGGGCATGGGTAGACTCAACTCGCGCTCTGTTTTGGAGGGTCCTGGGAGTTGCACTGCAGTGGGGAGGAATTACTTGTGTATTGGTGTGGAGAGTTGCCAGGCTCTGTAATTCAGAGAAGGGATGTGGGTTTCAGTATTGTATTTGAGTTGATAGAAAGAATAACAAATGATGGAAGGAAACAATGTAAAAGGAGACATAAATGTGACAAACTAGGTAATGCCAACAAACCAGATGTAATGCACAAGTAAAGTAACTTACTTTTTTTTTTTTTTTTTTTTTTTTTTTTTTTAGTAAACCTTTCCTATCTGGTCTTCAGAGCTGTATTTCTGTCCTCCGTGTGGCTGATCATTCTCTTTCTGAGTTGTGTTGATAAAGCCTCTGCAGGTGCTCTTCTCTTTTCTCAACTTTATTCTGAGCCAGTGCTCACCTGAACAGGCATGAGCAGACATTACCACGGTGCAGTGCTGGCGCCTGCATTGTCACTGATGACCCCATCACTGCAATCACAGCCCAGTGCCCCTAGGTCTGGTGGCGGTCTCTGAGCCTGACCCCTTGCTGCGCATCCCCTCTCTCCATCCGTTACTGCCTCTGCCACGAGCTGCCGCACTTCCCCGGAGGCTGTGCAGCCGGCTCCACGTGTGCGATTAGCAGCGGTGGGGATTAGTAACTTGGGCTGTGGGCTGAGTGGGGGCTAGAAGCTGACTGCTATATGGCAGCATAGTGCTTGTAGCCTCCTGAAGTGCTGCAGAGCCAGGATTGACTACTTCATTGTTGTATGCTGCAGCAGGAGTTTGTATCTCTTAATTGAGCATCAGCCTTTCACTTTAAGAAATTTTCTTCAGTTCTTGACTTTTGTCACTGACTTTTATTCTTTTCTTTATTTTTCCAATATCTGATAAAATATGGCTACCAGACCTGCTGTCTAATGTCACCCAGAGGCAAAATCATCTCTCTTTCCACAGCGTGGGAAATAGCAGAGTTAGGTGCATGGCATGTTTATGGCAGCCTGTGTTCATGATTCAGCAATGTGGGCACGTAGAGTACAAACAGGTGCACTATGAATTTGGGCATTATCTAATTTTGTGGCTGATCCACAAAACTGGTGTAGCTGAAGTTGCTAGGCCATTGGTCTAACCTGGCTTGAAGAAAACCTACCAGGTATATTTGTCTTCTCTATTGAAGTGATGAGCTGAAGAGACGTATTAGTTGCTCTTCTTGAAGTCACGGGTCAAACCTAGGAGTGTGGAGAAACAGGCTACTCTGCAGGAGCAGTCTGTGAGATGGGCTGGTTTGGAAGAACGGTGTTTGGTTCCTTTACCCAATTTCAGCGTCTCTTTGTTTTATGTATGCTCCCCTTCTCCAGGTTTTTGCGCATGTTATTACTGCCACTCAAATACATCTTTGGGGTCAAGATAGTGGTGAAGGGCAAGGAGAACCTCAGGACTAAGAGACCTTTCGTCCTCGTGTTGAATCACCAGACCTCCCTTGACATTATGGGTATGTGGTGATGCTGCCTCCTGCTCCTGGCCCCAGCTGTCTGTACAGGAGGGTAGTACGAAATCCCAAGTACCGCAGGCAGAGGGGCAGGAGTGGCTGTTACGTAGTCCATTACCAGCTAGCCCCAAGCCAGGGCTGTTTTCCAGGGTATTAGAGCCCAATAGATATTTTCAAGCTAAAACAGCTTCATCCTTTCCAAAAGAAAGGGGATGAGACTGTCAGTTGGCCACAGTTGTGTCAGCTGCTCGCATTCAGTGTCAGTAATCCTCTAAGTGGGTGGTTGGTCTGGAGACACCCGTAATCCCTTTCCCAACATGTTTCTGGTCCTGTGAAGCTGGATAAGTGCTGCAAGTGTGGCTGTAGCCTGAAATCTGGAGGAAACCTCAGTGCAGATGACAACTTGTTCTGTCCTTGTTGTACCCTTCCAGTGATGATGGAGATATTACCAAGTCGCTGTGTGCCCATTGCAAAGAAGGAAATCCTATACATGGGCACTTTTGGCATAGCATGCTGGCTTTCAGGACTCATTTTCATTGACCGCAAGAAGAAGCAAGAGTCTATCACTGTCTTGACAGAGGTGGCACAGTCCCTGCACAAAGAAAATGTGAGTGGGGAGGATGCTATGGTGAGGAGCCACTGAAAACATGTGGCTGGAAAGGGGTCTTTGTCTCTGGGCTGGGCACTGAGCAGGACAGAGAAAGAGCATCTCTGGTGGGTTCAGTGTGTTGTGTGTACTTGAAGTGGAGGAAGTGGATGTCTCTGCATGGTCAGGAGCAGACAGATCAGTCCCAGGGGAGTATGCCTGCGCAGTGGCTTGGAATAGTAACTGGAGGTCCCTCCATTTCAATGTTCTCTCTCTCCTGCAGCTCTGTGTCTTGATCTTCCCTGAAGGAACTCGCAGTCGTAGTGGCTCCCTGTTGCCCTTCAAACGTGGGGCTTTCCAGCTGGCTGTGAGAGCCCAGGTGAGAGTCACCTTCCTCCTGCCCCATGGGGTGCGGTTTGCCTACCATGGTCCACCAGCAACCAGGGCTGTGTGGCTCCTGTTCCCCAGCTTCCCTTTGGATTGAGCACACATCCGGGAACCCAGTAGGGGCCCGGCAGGCAGCACAGGAGGGGGACATTTCTGGGACAGGTGGAAAAATCTTCATGACTCAGCTTGGGAAAAAAGTGGGGGGACCTTGACATGAGCCCTGGATCTGCCCAGGAGGAGTTTCTGCTGAACTGAACATACTAATTTGGCATTGTTGCCCTAAATACAGAGGTGAAAATGCAAAAACCAACAGCGAGAACATTGAGTGATACAGTTAAATGATCTAAATATCCCTCCGAGTGCCTACCGTGAAGCTGACTGGGATAATTATCAGCAAGGTGCAGGATTCACTTGAGAATGGGGAAATTTGTGGATTCACTGTAGACTGCCTCCCTTCCAGGTGCCTGTTATTCCTGTAGTGATCTCTTCCTACCGTGACTTCTACAACGCCAAGGAGAAGAGATTTACACCAGGTGAGGATGACTTGGGGAAAGAGTGGGCTGGGTGTTGGCCCAAGCTCCATCCTTGGAGGGAGCCATGGGGTGTGTGAGCAGAGGACCATGTGTGATGTGGAGATAGCTTCTGTCTTCTTTGGAGAGTAGGGAACGGGAGATTTCAGGCATCACTTTTGCCTCTCCCCTTGCATTTCTCATGGTTTGTCCAATACCTGTATGAGGGAACCTGGAGAAGCAGCGGAGTCCTGGGGCAGGTTCTGCCCCTGGCCGCACCATGCTGTCCTTGGCTCTGTGGGTGCATGGAGAGTCGGGGAGCAGGGGAGCAAAAGTAAACATGGAACTCTCAGCAAAAGTCATGCTGAGAGTGTGTCTCCTCCCAGTTGCCCTGTTCTTTCCGTGTTTCATCCATTTATGGTGATAAAAATTTCTGCCAGTTGCTGATAAAATTTTATGGGGGAAAAAAAATGACACCAGTCCTGGGCTTCAGAAGGAAAATGCACAAAAAAATGCTTTGAATTCCAACAGAGAAAAGTAACCCATCCTTTTCCCCTACTTCCTTCACTGATGCCCACCCCAAAAGGGGCTTCTGCCACTTCCCACCCTCCCCCCATGCTAGCTCTGCTCTTTCCTAAGGGAGGATTTGCATCTGAAATTCTCATTCCTCCCATTGTTTGTACCTGAGTGTAGTCATTCCCTTGCAGACAGGCACTTGGAAGAGCGAGGTGCAAATGTGAACCACTGCATTGTCTGTTTCTACTCATCTTTCACCTACTGGGTCTATCCTGACTCAGTGGGCCATACACGAAAGCCGTTTGGTACTGGAAGCATTCCCCCACGCGGGGGTCGATAGGAGCACGAGCAGGGATGTCAGCCCTGCTCTGTTAGCCCACTCCCACCCCATCACATCCCTGCTCAGTTGGGTAACGAAGATAGAGCGCTCCCCTGGGACATCAGAGAATAACGCAATGGGGATGAATCTCTGGTGCAGTTGGACCTTTTGCTTTAAGCAAAGATAGATGAGTTTGCTCTGTGCCTTGTCCAGCCAAGTTTGGAGTAACTCCAGGGAAGGAGTTACTAAAAACCTCCCTGAGCTTTTTAGGAAAGACTATTTGCAGTAGCATGTACATTTGCCTTTATAATAGCCTCACCCTGGGAGGTTGTGGTTAGCTGACCTCTAAGCCCTTTTCCTAGTTGCTGTTAAACAGGTAGGACCTTCACTGCTGGAGAAAGAACCACAGTTAGCTTTTCCTGTACCTCCCCACTTTTCCCACCTGCAAGTTTTGCCAGGGCCGATTCTGAAGATGTACTACACATGGCCAAGAGTTCTGCACGTTGAGCGGGCTGATCCTCAGGTCAGGACAGCTCATCATGTCCACAGTGGCCCTGGGCATGCTGATGAGCTTCTGGAAAGCCCAACTCCATGTCCAGCGTGTGCACATTGTCATGCACAGAGTAAGTCTGGTGCTTGCTGGAAGTCTGTTACACCCCAATTAGAACTGCATTTTCAGCACAGCCCTGTCATTGCTCAGCTTTTTCTGTAGGACCAAGTGAAGCACGGTAGACTCCTGAGATACCAGGCCTAGTTTTGGATGTAAGAAGTGCAGGCAGGGACCATGCCCTCTTCTTCTGTGAAGCTCTTCTCTACGCTTCTGTTTTGCCTCCCTTGCATGGCTCTGCTAGCAACACTTGTGGATCTCAGTTCCTAGCACACGTGTAAAGGCATGCAAGAAAGTTAGAAAATAACACAGACACTCCCCTGATCCTCAGGTCTGTGCAGGCAGTGTCTTGCCTCGGCTGGCCAGAACAAGGGCCACTAGGTGCAAGAGCAAAAGAGCATGATGACAGCTCCCCAGTATATTCTTCCTGTTTGTACCAGTCCATTGCTCAGGTGCTTGCCAAGAGGAGTATGGCACACCTTGGCCAAACAGGGAGTCCTGGGCACTATTTCTGTCCTCCCAAAGCGTGTCTCTGGAAGGAAGGGCTCCACTCAATTCAGTATATGTGGATCAGAGCATGACCAATTTGGATGCACTGTATTACAGACATTTTGTTATCTTTGCCGTGATCGAGACAGACCCTGAGGTCTTTCCACTGTGAAAATGTATTCCATATGAATCATTGCATTGGATGTATTTGGGGACTAGCATATGGGAGAGATTCACCTGTTTCTGTATGTATGATTTTGAGATTTTGCAATCTCTGTGGTTGGGAAAAGCCTGGTTTGGGTTTTTGCTGTGTGCATCTGAGACATGACTGGGTTGCTACACCACTGTTGGTGTGTGAAAGAGGGCATTTCCCTTCATTTCTGTCTTGTTCCTTGGTTGGCACGGATCCCTCTGCTATATCTTCTCTTGCTCTTCTACACCACTCACGTATTTCCTTCCCTGTCTCTGACGCTCCTGTCTCACTCTTCCAGGGAAAAGCATTATCCAGATCCTGCCAGAAGTGGAGACCCTCGGCCTGGGCCCAGACGATGTTCCCAGGCTCACCGAGCAGGTCCGTGACTCCATGCTCACCACCTATCAGGAGATATCAGGAATGACAAACGGGGCTCCCCATTAGCGATGTCATCTTCCAGCTCCAGCTGTGTGTGTAGCACGTGAAGGGGAGGGCATGGCAACCACAAGAAGATCTGGCAGCAGAGACAACCATGGATTGCAACCCAGACATACCAGAGACAGGCAAAACGTCCACAGAGGAAGAAAAGCTTTTAAGTGGAGGCAGTGAAATGGTTGCCGTGTTCCTTCCAGAGAACTGTGCCAGCTCCGTGGACAGACACACAGTGGGTAGTGGGACATTTCTTTGTAATTGTAACCCTGAGAACTTCTCTCCAGCTGGACCTCAGGCAGAGCTGGACCCTTCCTGTGAGCATCTTATAGTCAACTTTTCCTATTCCAAACCAACAAGGCAGAGGCATTTATCAGCAAGCCCGTGGCCATCCTGCCCAGGGAAGTGGCTGTCCTGGGGTTTGAGGGCTGCCATGTTCTGGAAGCACATTCAGGAGAAGGCATTGTCTCCTGCCTCTCTCCATGGGGTGGACTTGGGAGGTACCTCTGCCATGAGAGGGGAAGCCAAGGCAGCTTTGGGAGAGGGGAATTAAAGACTTTACATGTGTCTTCAGGGGTTGGTGGTTTCTTTGCTTTTCTTAGCCTTCCTTTTAAGCAAAACGCGATTTTGCTTTCAGTGGTTGGGCAGATCTTGAAAGTGTGAGGTGAATATGCCCGGGGACTCAGAAACCAGAGGCAAACAGCAAGAATGTGTTGCTTGGCATCCTTGCTGTGCCCTGATAATCTCATGATTTTTAACACAATCTATATATTTTTCAGTCCAAATACACTCTGGGAGCTGCAGCTCCTCATTTCTGAATGCTGCCTGGTTGTGTCCTGTCTTCTGAGTGTCAGAGGATGGTGTCTTGCCTTCCTCTGCCCAGGGTCACCACAGCCTTTCCCCGCTCCCCGCGCTGGGGGCTGATGGAGCAGCACGATTCCCAAGCTCCATTGCTCACCCTGGGCCCTGGCAGCCCTGGGGGTCTCCTGTAGGCTCCCATGGGTGGGCAGCATGGGTCACTGGGCTGGCATGGCCATGACTTGCCAGCACATCCCCCCGTGGCAAAGCACGCATGCAGATGCTGTAGCCATGGCATTTTTACCAAGTATCTCCTTCATTAGTCCTCATCAGAGAGGCACCTACTCCACCCAGAAGCTTCACTCATGACTCCACCTTAGGCTGCCACGTTCTTGCTCCCGGTCCCCTCCTTCCCGCCCGGTTGTGCCAAGGAGAGATGGAAACTTAATATGATTTTTACATGTTTGGTATTTATTGACTTAATACAGTCTTGTAAGAGATCATCCCAGCCAGTCGATTAATTTTTAGTCCTAATGTTTGTGGTTTACGTATCAGCCAGCTTATGGTTTGCTTTTTTATGCTGATACATTTAGCTATGAACCATAGCCAAAGTATGTTTTGGACATGTTTGACATACCAGAGTTGATGCCAAAGGTAGATGAATGCATACAATGTGTTTTATTAATGTCTAGCACACCCAAACACACACATGTTCACTATAGGATTTAAATAAAAGATGTCTCTAGGCTTCAAGATGCAGCTGTGATTCTCCAGTGTCTTCAGAGACTGAAATGTCACTGCTAATTAGTAACAGCCTAGACAGTTTATGCTCTTGTGCAAAACAAGAAGAAGATAAGAAAAGTTTTAAAAACTATTACATGAACTTGCTAATTTCTGAGCAGGTACAAAGGATAAGGAATTTGATTTGGAAATGCAAGCATGGCGACTTCCAGATTTGACAGCCATTCAGGATGGGAAGTAAAATTTTGTCTTGATTATGCCTTTAGAGAGTCATAAAGCATCCAGCACCTAACCAAGTCTTGCACACCTCTGAACATTTTTTTAGAGCAGCAGACAATAAAAAGTCACTACCCTTCCATCTGAAGACTTACATTACTGGAAGCTTTTACAAATAAATGATATAAAAATCACAGTATAGCAAATAAAACAGTAGACATAGTCTTGAGCTCCTCTCCGGGAAATCATGTGCCCAGGTTCAGTTGACAGCAGTCAGCTGAGCATGATGTACAGGCAGCAGTTTCCCAAGAGCAGCTCAGTGCCACTGTTAGGAGTTTCCAACTCTGGTCTGATGAGCAGGTTTAGAAACTGTTGATGAAGCAGAAAAAGCTACTGAGAGGCAGAAAATGTTTCCAGGACACAGTATTTCTCCCCACATTTTTATTTGACTCCATAGCTTAAAATAGTCAGTGGTGAAGGGGAAACTGAGTACCAGGTCACCCCTGTGTCCTTGTGCTTCTGAGACACTGCAGTGCTTCCAGCCTTGTCAAAAGGTACCTAACATCAGATGGCCCTTTGCATAAGTGCTTTTGGGGCAATTTCTTGGCACTTGAAAAGGTTAAGCTTTTAGCAGTTGCTTTTTCACATCCTGGGATTTCACTATCTCTGGGTTATGCAAACACTGTTCAGCTTCCTCCCAGCCTGGTGGTAAAAGAGCCACAGGAAGTGGCTCAGCAAATTTTAGTGACCATAAGACTAAGTTAATAAAAGAAATCAGGAAGCCTCTATTGTTTAGAGAAAAGGTGAGCATCAGCTGGACTCCGCTCCTAAAGAAGGGGGTAAAGTCACCGTAATTTAGCCTTTACATCAAGCACAAATGTCTCTCTTAAATGGCAGTGTCTGTCTCAAATAGAGTTAATCAAACTCAGTACAGGAACTGTGTGGAGATGCTTTGTGGTCTGTGCCTTGCAGAAGGACAGAGTAGGTGATCCCCAGGTATTGTGATCACCTATAAATGGGTTGCCAGAAGGGAAAACACAATCCAGTCCATTCTGCTCAGGTCATACCTGTCTTCTGCAAGTCTCTGTTGTCCCTACATTATTTACAACTGGGACAGCCCATGACAAAAATACATCAGCAGGAGGACACAGCTAGTTCCTCATCTCATATATGAGGACACCGCCACATCATAGTCTCTGACTATGCATATTAAACTACTGATGAGTCAGGTCATACAGTTGCAAAACAATTCTAGATATATCTTTAAATGCTTTAAAGCTTTAGGGAAGGCAAGGGAAGAGCAGGGGCTTGGAGCAGCAAAGGAAGAATTTGGAGCAGGTTGGCTAATTCTGATTGATTTCTGTGAAGGAAGACTCCAGTTGTCCTGGAATAAGGTGCTTAGAGAAGGACACATTCACAAGGACCAGAACAGACTGAATTTTCAGGGATTTCTCATCAGCTGAAGAGGAAGAGGCAGGCTACTAAGGGATGGTGAAGGTGACGGATTGCAAGGAGACTAGACTAACAGCGCATCTGCCTCTAGTGGTGTTGAGTAAGGCTGAATAGATGGTCTAGGTCTTTTGGGGACAGAGTCACTATGATGACCTTAATTCTTTTATTTCTTTAGCTTCACAAGAGTCTGACCTTGTAGGGCATTTATTATTTTAGACAAACCTCAGACAACTGCTTACCTTTTGTGCCACTCCCAGGCTCGTCTTTCCAAGGTGAGAGGTCGAGCTTATCGATCTCATGGCAGCCAACGAAGTTCTCAGGATAACTGTTGACCTTGAACACATCCCTGGGTATCGTTTTGATACGAGTATTGTCACAGATCACTGTCGACAGTGAGATTTTTCTCAGTGCATGCAACTGCTGCAGAGTGAAAACTCCTGGTTTCTCCCACCAGAATCTGCAATGATATTTTCAGAAAGATCTTGTAGTCTCCTTGATGGCATTTGGTACTGGTTATTTGCCAGGATGGGAATTTGGCCAAGGTGAGTCTCTGCTCAGGTCCACCTTGATTCATCAGGCAGCTGGCACAGCCTTTGGAAAGAGGTGTCTCCAGATGTGGCCAGGTCTGGATTCTGCCACTCATCTGCCAGTGCAGAGAGCCTGCCTCTTCCATGCAGCGTCACCATGCTGCTGGGATGCAGTGACTATTCATCCCCTTTTGTACCCTGAGAGCAAGTGTCACCTTAGGCAAAGAGTACTGCAGATCATCCACGGTCTGGAGCTGGTGCTTCTCAACCACATGGGTCTGTAGGAATGGGCTGCAAAAAAGAGCCCTGTCACAACTGGGCTAAAATCAAGGTGTGAGCCATGCTGGGAGCACTCACTGGTGTGTTGGAGATGGACTGGATTAATGTGTCACATGAAATGTCAGCATTTTTTCCCATAATAAATGCCATGGGGAAGGTTTACTCCCAAAGCTACCTACCTGTCCGCATCACGCAGGTTCCTGAACTGGGTGCCAATGAGGCAGGCCAGGAGGGGTCCAACTCTGCCCTTGGGAATAAAGGGCTCTGCGACTGCCCCAATCCAGAGGTCAATATTGTCCGGTGTCCCATACAACTCCATGAACTTCTTGGCCAGTTTGGAATTGCCTAGTACCTCAGAGAATTCATCTAGGGTTTGAGGCTGGGAGAGCCCACAGAAGCGCCTCCAGGCATTGTAACCTACAAAAGCAGGAACAGCAGTTGATCAGGCCCCATGTCTCCCCACCATTTGCCTAAGCTCAGGAGCTAAACAGACCCCTTCGTCCATGAGCAATGTCTGCTGCTTCTCACAGCATTAAAGGATCTGGAAGACATTGTCTAGACAGTTACAACAAATGCCATGTTTTCAAAAGTCCTTTTTGTACGCACACACTAAACTAACAATTTGGGTTGTCTTTGCAGATGACTACAGGTTCATCGCATCCTGTCAGTTAGAGCTACCTGGTGCTGAGGGTGACTGGACCAGTCTTCACAGTTTCGGGAGGAAAAATTTCTAGGATTAAAGTCCTAGAAAAGAGCAACATTTGGCTGTGCTTAACCCAAGAGCACCCATTCTCCAGCACCTGGGGACAATCCTTACTGCGGGTGCAAGACACCTCTGCTCAGAGCTCTGGGTTGTCTGAAGACACAAAATAAGCATTGATGGGCAAAGAACAAAGCACAGATGGTCTGTCTAGCCCACAAGAAAGCTGAACTCGGTTGCTTGCATCTGTACCTTCTGTACCCTACATGTTCTCTCTGTGCACTACACCATTGTTTCTACCCCTCTTTATTATGTTATTCAAACTATCATCTTTGCTTTCCAAGACTTTTGTTGTTGTCTTAAAGCCCTCAGAAAAAGGTCTTTATAATACAGAGACCTTATCTTCCCTGACCTTGACTGTCTATCCATCCTTCAAGGTACTATTTCTTCCCATTGGTATGGAAAAAGCTTAGTACATTTGTGGAACTACTATAAACAGAAGAAAAAGAAAGTATTGTTCACAGGAGATGTGGACTTGTGTCTCTTTACCTGGAAGGCCATGGTCTCTTCCTCGTTGCATGTTCAGGGCTGCTAGATCCAGACCCATTATCTCTGTCTGTTCAAAAAGGTGGTTCTGGAGCTCCTCAACAAGCAGTTGATTCTGTCTCATCAGTTTTGCATGATCAACCATCATGCCCCGCATCAGTGGGTCAATGCCGCCTGCATTCATTGCAGATCAGGAAAAGATTGTAACAAGTTCCAGCTTTGATGGTCCATTTTGTGCAGCTGAAACAGTGCACAGTGTCTTTTCTACTCTGGGCTGTGCAGGGTTCACCTAGCTCCATATTTCCATTTCAACATGTACTAGCGCCTATGTACATACACACATATGACAGTAGATGAGGCTTCCCTGTGGTAACTAGATTCCCCAACCCTCCCCATCTCCATCCCTCAACCTTCCTTTCTGCAGCCCTAAATCCACTGGTTGCTCACGGGGACCTCCAGGTCGCTTTCTGCAGAACTGCTCCTCAGCCTGTCAGCCCCAAGCATGTACTGATACATGGCATTCTGCCCAAGGTTTGGGTTTTGCAATTGATTTTGTTTATAATTAGCTATCAGTTGACAAATATATATTAAAACTTTAAATACAATGAGAGAATCAATTCATGTCTGTTTGTCTGTCTTTTTCATAGCCATTAAGACGACAGTATTAATTAAACACAGGAAAATTGGCTACACATGTGTATTTTGGTATGTTTTGCATAATTAGTTAGATAACTCATTTTGGAAAAGACATTTGTCTTCCTTGGAAAGATTGGTGCCTGCAAATATCAGCTGCATAAGAGCAGGATCCCCTAACTCTCTTTAGAGTCATGAAGAGAGATGGCCACCGCCAGGAAGCAGTTATGCTGTCTTAGCTCAGTTAGAGTGGATGGATCACCCTCTGGCAATGTCTACTAATTACAGGGGGATGTAATAGCTTAGATTGACCTAAATTTTAGTTGACTGACATTCGGCACCATGAGTCTCATGCCTCCTGGAACAGCATGAGCAGTTGCAGTATTTGAGTGAACGTGCAATGCTCACGCTCCCTGAGCTGAGAGATGTGCAGCAACCTGATAAGGAGGTTTAATCTGTTACATATTCTGGTTATTTACTGACATTGATCAGAATATGAATGTAATTATCGTCCAATGAACTGAAGAAGACAACTCTGAAAAACTGTGCAAAAGAAGCTACAGAACTGTGTGTTCTGATGCAAAATCCTGCTCCAATGTGGCTGTTTCTGAGGGAGCTGGTGCTTGAAAATGTTCAATGGTTGGAGTTTAACAGTAAGTAATTTTTGGCATGGCTCCTTTGCTGGGGTACAGTGCAGAACCAGTGTTAGGCTGTGTTTGGTGACAACTCTGCAGGACTGTCCTGCTGGCCCACATTTAGCAGACCACTGATTTGCCTGCAGTCCCTTGGGTAGACATGTCATGAGCACCTTCCAAGCTGAATGGCACTGTAATTTTTGTGAGGCCAGTTAAATAAATGGAGCTAAAGCAGTTTTGGGCATCTAAGCTTGTGTGTCTTTTACCCGCTGACTTCAACCTGGATGTCTGCTTCAGGACCAGACCAGGACTGCTGGCTGCCCCATGTTCTTACCTTCCATTATAATTCTCCACGTAGCGCAAAAGGTCAAATGAAGAGGGACATGGGAGAATGAACCCAAAGGCTGAAAACTGTCATCCAAACGAGATACAAAAGGCTGTACTGACGTATGACCAAATCGGAAAGCCAGAGAAAAAACATTTGAGACTGTAGGATCCACATTCTCCTTGTAGCCACTGTACAAAGGGATCCACTTGCTGGTCTCCTCCGCAAGCACAAGTGGCAGGTAATCTCTGTATGTTATTATCTGAAAAAGCACAAAAGCAGAGCAAGTTGTCAGCAGCTGTAGCAGAAATGCCACCAAAGTCAGGTGCAGAGCATGAACATGGACTCTCTGTCCAGTAGCAGAGTTCATTAAGACCTTCAGAAAAAAAAAGAGCTGTAGTGATGGCATGTTTGGCGTAATATATTAAAATTAT